TTTCTTCAGTTCTCTACGAGTTCGAGGTATAGATGCGTTCTGGCAAGCGGGACGTCAACACCAGGCTAAGGCTGGGTGTAAATCTGGTGTCATTGGTTAGTGCTAAGGTCTTCGATCATCACTACTATACGAAGGGAGATACTGACAATAGATGTGGCCGCAGTTCTAAAAGGTTGTTCTCGAAACGGCCTTTTAGCACGTAACAGTTAAAAATAAGTTTCACTGAAAAGGCCACAGATATACGAGTGACTCGTCCGCATCCGTCTCAACTCTCCAGAGAAGCATGTACACTAACATATTAGTATCCACAGTAGGAAATAAATCAACTTCATTGTAACAGCTATGCACACTTATTTCAAGGCAGTGACTAAAAAAAGAATGTTTGGCCAAACTTTATTGCGATATCCCGGTGCATTAAAATCTTTAAATTCTCGAAACTTCACTGTCACAATGAATGACAGGTGAGGCAGCAAGACAAGGCAGACGTTTGCGTCAATGATGCTCATTCATTACGCTGGGCCCAAACATGGCGGTGACATTAATGGCAGACGCGTGCATGTGGGCTGGCGCTGAGCTGGCCGGCCTTGACAGAGGAAATGCCCCCTTTTCATGATTCCAAGTATTGGTGCTGACCGTTTTGCCGCGCTCTGTTTAAGAAACGGAACCCGGTATCGCGTTCCAAGCTCGAGGGCTTCTCTCTCTCGCGTCTTATACCCCTCTCCTCCACGGGTTTCAAAATCACAGCCGATGCTCGCACCCGTTCACGACAAACCCATGATAAATTGCCAAGGGATCGATTATTAAGATGCTACTTTTTTCTCTTGCCTTTGTCGGTGATCGATTCCGGTCCATCTCTATGCTCTCTGCCTCTGAAGGAAGTTCGTCACTACTCGCTAAGTGAACCGGGCACCACTTTGGGCGCATCAATCGATACTTTATCTTGCGTTGTTTTGCATTTCTCGTGCCTTGTTTTGTCCACTGTACATCTTGCCAGTGGGATTTTCTCCTTTGTGTTTACTGAATCAAACCTCAGGCTCAAAGTCACAGAGAATTTGCAGCAGAATATCTGTATTGCCAAATGCATATGTATCTATAATTAGAGTTGACAGTAAAACATCATTGTCTCACAGAACGAAGCCTTTCAAAAATAGTCAGCGATTAAACGTATCTGAAATCGTATCAATTTGGGATCCGGACGTGAGGTATGCCAATGCATGCTTTTACTCGGGGATAACAATCGTGAAAGTGAACGACGTGCATAATGAGTGAGCTTTAATAAGGCTACAGAAGAGGTAAAACAAACTCGACCAATGTTTCTTAATGTACATAATTTATCGGGGGAGGGGGAACGAAAAAAAAGTGACGTCGACGTTTTGATAAAATGCGTCATGTTGTCACATGAGTGGGCGGAATTGAATATTCATTCACAATTCCCTATCGATTTCGATTACAATCTAATATGGTAAGAACGGTGGACTTTGTAATAAACGCTTGTTTATCGAAATGTAACCTTTCAAGCAAGTTAGAGTCTGAAAGGTTAAGCGATTCAGGCCAGCGCAGTTTTCATTTCGCAAAGCCGAAGTCTGGAGATAATGTAAAAACGGATCGGACTATACGTGTTCGCCACTTCTCTCTGATCCCCCATCCCTTTGGGGGAAAAGCCAACAACGAAGCCTGATACAATGGTATCTCCCCAAGACAGCGTTCTAGGGGACCCCCTCGAGATTGTGGCAGAATGCAAAGCTGTGGCTTTGATTTTAGGCATGGTTTTTTTTTGGGGGGGGGGGGGGGAAAGGGTCTTGAATAGGGAAGAGCAGACGCCCCCAGGGAACGAAGCATCTAGAAGGAAGAAAAAAGGCACAGCCAAATTGGCAATCGGGTCGAACCACAGCCTGTGCATAAAACTCAGCGCGGGGGAGGGTGGGGGTGAAGCACCTCTCCAGGCGCGAGAATCGATACCCTTCGTCCGATAAAATACACAGAATGGATAGGAATAAAGGGGAACATCCCTAAGCTAGTCTGCCCAAGCCTGATATAATGTTTCCACAACCCGGGAGCGATTCCCATGGTTATTGAGCAGGAACTTGATTCTCCTGGCCGATGGGTTCTACAGCTGTCTTCTGGAAGCTGGGACTTTCAGGTGCCAGAATGTATAGACGTCGAGCAGGTTTTCTCCTCGCTGTACGGTTATTCGATGGAAGTGGGGGGGGGGGTAAACCTTTATGCGTTTTGGATAAAAATGTATAAACATAATTGATTTTTTGGTTCTTGAGAAAAAAGAAAAACCGCACTCTAAAGCAATGACTTTATACTGGCTCATTGAATGGACCGATGTTGAAAACTTAGTTAATGCAATTCAATAATGTAAATTTGCTCCGACGAATGGGTGTAGGAGCGAGTCATGATACAAACATCCAGCAAATTTAAAGAGGGAGGGTAGAGTTTATACACCATTTGACACTAAGTGTTACTGTTCCAGGGGCGGGTCTAGCTTTCAAGAAAGGGGCGGGTGATATATAAAAAGGGAGGGTGACTAAGGCGTGCCAAAGGCACGCTCTGCTATGGAGGGTCCGCCGGGGGCATGCCCCCGGAAACATTTGAAACCTACGATGCTGCATTCTAAGGCAATTCGAGAATAACTTTAGGAACTTTAGCGTTCCATTTTATTATTTTGGGCCCCATTTTACAAGTATCATTACATTAGTCAGAGGCTTAACGGGGGAGGAGGGTGCAACCCCCAACCACTCTAGATCCGCTACTAGTGTCTTCTGGATTTGCCTTTAAAAGAGAGAACTTGAAACAGGTGGATTAAACCATTCCTGCATGGCAACGTGATTAACGTAACATATTCCAATTTCAGAATAGTTTGAGCGGTGTTCTTTTCAGTACTACCACTGACGTACTTCGGCACAGTTGTTGTTGTCCTTGCGTGTTCAGAATAATAGGGGCGGGAGATGATCACAAGTTTGGACCATCCTGCAATTTCATGTTTTCAACAAAAACCTAACACATGAATTCATCTTTAATGTAGTTATAATATGTTTCCATCTTTCAGCTTAATTGGCTATACCGTGACTGGTATATTTATGATACTTTCACTGCTTAGGCCTACTTATAGTATGAATCGAATATAAAGGGGCGGTTACTTGACCACACCCAGATGTACAATTCTGATACATTGCAATGAGTAAACTCAAGTTTTAGTTCAGCACGCTGAAATTCCTGCCAAATCTAGTCTCCGGAGAACCTTTTGAAACTCTGCAGCCGAGGAGCAGTGGGACCTCTTTCAACACAAACCCGATACCGCGTCTGCCCATAATAATTTACACTGATACTTGTGTGTCAATCGTTACACAAATGAGCTAATTTTGTCCATTAACATGCGGAGGAGGGGGAGAACTCCTTCACCAGCTGCGCCTGTCGATAGACCCGGGTCAATTCGAAGCGATCCACGGTACAGAGGCTTGGGCCGCGTCTCGCTCGGTCCATACACGCCGTTCCGACATCGATTGCGCTCCGGGCAGGTACAGGGGCGTCCCACACGGGTCGTCCGGAGCCCGGGCGACCAGGCCAAGTCCAGGCACCGCTCGGGCATTTTTAGCCAGATTAGCTTTACTCAGCTTTCCCGGTAACATTCATTACAGCACCCGGGGCGTATCGATTCAGAGCAGCGGCCTATAATAATGCCGACCTGAAACCGATCCTTCGTTCTGGCACTGAGGGGATAGAAAAGGGAGGGGGAGCAAGTGCTCCCTGGATGTTTTCTCGTCTCCAGAGGGCAGTCCCCCCGGTAAAATGCCATAGTTGAGCTAACATCTATCGGTTGGTGTCCATAATAATGTGTCAGACCGATTCGATCCTGCCCTGCTTTTTTTTTCTCCTTCCCGACATTCGAGGAGGAATCAGATTGCATTTCCATCATGCATGCAGTGCGGGCGGGCGATGCGGGGTCTCCGAATACTAATAACACCCAAATGAGAAGCTGGGTGTTCTCGATCAATCTGACTGATGCATTTGGGTCTCTCTTGTTGCCTCCAAGATTCTCTTCTTGCTGTCTTTTCTTGTCAAATCTTGCCTTAAGGTCGTTGAGCGGTCAGCCCAATTGGTTCACCACAATTGGGTCGAAACTACAATAGCATTTTGCTAAACTTAAAAAGAAAAAAATCGATACGAAGCATTACATCATAGTCCATAAAAATTAATGCTATGAAAATATAAGACATTAAAAAAAACACGGACACACGGCAACCAGTTTTCAGATTTATAGGGCCCGTTACAACTGATAATGTAATAACCAAAACGTATCACCAACTGATAATGTATGTAACAACAATTGATCGATACTGTATCACTAACCGATAATGTTACAAAACGTTGACCGATAATGTAGTAGAATGTGCTACACTATCAGTCAATTGTTGTTACATTATCAGTCCTAACCGATAATGTAACAAAAATTGACAGACAATGTAGTAACAGTTACTACATTGTCGGTCATTTTTTTGTTACATTATCGGTTGGTGATACAGTATCAGTCAATTGTTGTTACATTATCGGTTGGTGATACGTAGCCCGCTGGTTATTACAATATCAGTTGTAACAGGGCCCATAATACCAAACCGCAATACAAAAAAATTCCTTTTATTGTATCAAGTACACTAGGGCTATTTGTGACAGTCTCCATCTTTCTGGAGGCCTCAACCAACAACCGATGAAAGATGAAAGCACATACTCCTGTCACGAAAGAACTCAGATATATTTCCCCAAGATGTAGTCTCAAGCAAAAGTCAAATCACACTTACGATAATCGAACATTGTACAGGTTGAGTAAAAAAATCTAGGATATAAAAGCCCAATTCATAAGCTGTATTTTGTACAAGAATCATTCAATTCACTTATGTGCTTTTCAAAAATTGTTATTTTCCTATGTGGGTTAATATCAGAGCACCTTTTCATTGAAATCGTTCTTTGTGTACTGTAAAAAGTGTGTTGTTTAGGACATGGAAGCAGAAGACTGGTTGAGAAAAAGCGGGGAATTTGTCGGTTGTGAGATTTAGTACTTATGAATCAGTCTATAGTAAATACATGTAATATAATAACCGTAAAAAATACCATTGAGGGAGAGATTCCCATAGACTTGTGCAAAAACAAATTTCCGACTTTCCTGACCCCTTAACCCAGTTTTACCTTATCCTACCCCCACGAGTTTTGGTTATTTTGCTTAATGAACCACAAGCAATCGATCTAGCCTATTTCCGACGGTAAAATGTTGCCTCTAAATAGAAGCTGAGGCATTAGGGAGACATTGAACAGTCTCCCTTATTGCACAATGTCTCCCAAAGGTATAACTTTGACGCCAAAGTGTCTCCAAATTGGTATAATTTTCGATAGTATATACAGAACAGCACAACACAAATTGGCAATGTTCGTAGGTAATGGTGTAGTTGTACTTGGAATTACTGGCACAGTTAGTAATGGATCCGTCAACGTAAAGTGTTTCTACTAGTTACGAGCCTCTCAAAAAAAAGTTACAATAAAAACCTTAAAAAAAAAGAAGACATATTCATGAGCCTTTTCAAAGATTTCACAGGAGTTCGGAGGTATAGACAAGGGTAGAGATGTTGACAAAAACCGAGCCATCAACGATAACATTCAGCAAAGGAAGATCGCCTAATCGTGGAGGGATAGAAAAGGTCAATTTCATATTTTCAAACATTTGCTGATGGCCTTTCCTGTGTGTGTTTTTCTCTTCCTCAGGTTATTTAGTGAGCGTGCTGGACAGTGCCACTGCTCACGCCTCCATCCTGACCCTACTAGCCATATCCGTCGAGCGCTACTACGTCATCTGTATGCCCTTCAAGGCTAACTACACTTGCACCTCTAAGCGGACCCTCATCATCTGCTGTCTGGTCTGGCTCATTGCCTTCATCAGCAGCATCCCGGTTGTCCTGCTGACCGGTTATAGGTCGTGCATTGACCTGGACACTGGGGAACAGAAGGGCTATTGCGAGGCATACGCTAACACCAAGCTCCAGGAAGCCTACATCGGGGGCATCTTCTGCCTCTTCTTCCTGCTCCCTTTCGGCTTCATGACCGTCATCTACTGCATTATCGCGAACACGCTGCGAATGCACGACAACTACATGGCTGCCATCCGGAAGAAGGAGTCTCTGGCGCCGCCGTCTGGTGACTTGGCGTCGTCGCGTGACGCCGGACGGCTGGTGGAACTGGCCTCCATGCCACGCAGGAACAGCGTGGAGTACCTGATGGAGACCAACAACCATGCGGCACCGGCGACCAATCACGTCACGAGCAGCCAGAGCGAGGAGCCACTCACGGTGGCCACGGTGGACGGGGAGGCCAATCACTACACGGCTCTCCGGTCAGGGGCCTCTGGTGGCCAGCAGCAGGCCAGCTCGAACAGTGCGTGTCAGAGCATGGCCAACGCGGCCACGCGGCAGTCCCACCGCCGCGTGGTGCTCATGCTGGCTAGTGTGGTGGTCGTCTTCTTTGTGTGCTGGTTTCCCATGCGCATCCTCATGCTCTGGCAGATCTTCGCGCCGCGCGAGTCCGTCTACTCCTGGTTGGTGGCCAACCAACACACCTTCGTGGTCATGCTGGCTGGCTTCCGCGTACTGATCTACATCAACTCAGCCATCAACCCCATCCTGTACAACCTCATCTCTACCAAGTTCCGGGCGGCGTTCCGGTCGGTCATCCGCTGCGAGGACGCTCGGCGGTCTCGCAGCAAGAGGTCCATATCCACTCGCTCTTTCACTTCCACGTCCAGTCTGAGAGTCCATGGCCGCACGACTGACTACCATGGCTAGCCTTAGCCGCTGCTTGACCATTCCCGCTGTAATTCAGACCTTCATCACGCTTATGTCATGTGAGAAGCCCTAACTTTCCACAGCATTTGGACTGCTCACACACGAAATATAAATGTTTTTAGTCCTTAAAATTGGCGACTAATTCAAAATCGAACATCGAGCACTTTTCCTGTTAATATTGAGTACATTATCGTGTAAAAGAGAGCACATACGGCGATATATGATTATGAGTCCAAATGTGTACGGACCAAAACTGTATGAGATTTTCTATACAGCTCATGGCTGCCAGAAAATCCAAGTCTAACGACGATACCATACGCTGAAATGCTTTTGGATGGGAGCCAGACTAAGATGAAAGTGTGATGAAGGTCTCACTGCTTTCGTTCGTTTCCGCCTGACACTAATTTGAAAAAAAACCTGGTTTGCTATTTTACTTTCTTCTTAAGTATTTGGGGCATTTCCCGATTCCCAAGCTTGCTTTATACCCAGTTCGATGGCTAGTTTGCATGCATGTTTGTGTATCCTTATTCGTGTTGACCACCGTTTGCAGTCACCTCAACCACTTGTAGATACGATCAGTCGAACAACACTTTGGTTAAGACTCACACAAATTAGTTAAAGATAGTCAGCAGGTTGTTCACATGCTTCTAAATGTCTTTTTAATCTGGATATAGTAAGTGATGAAAACACGTGTATCTATATATCGTAACTCCCTATTTGGTGTGGGAAAAGTACATACACTGTATATTTCAAAATTGGAGGATTCACGGCTAAACGGCTGAAGTAAATAAAGTCTGTCACGTGCCAATATGGCCCATTAGGCCGGCATTTACCTCCGGTAAGTTCCTAGGCATGAAACAACTGAGAATAGTTCTATCCCCCCTGGATGGGATGCCAGGCCATCGCAAGTTACTCCCCAGCTAATGCCGGTACCCATTTTAACTCCTGGGTGGAGAGGGGCAATTGGGGTAAATTGGATTGCCCTAGGACACACATATGGCAGCAGCTGGATTCGAACCCCTGACCCACTGAGCGCGAATCATAAATCCTAACCACTAAGCCACACTCCCACACGGCTGAAACTTTATATCAAAATAAAAATAAAAAAAAAAGATGCCGATACATGCAAAACGAGTCATCAACTTTTCCTTTTCCATGGCATGTTGCAAAGTACTCTCTCCCCTCGTGTCTCAACCATGTGGCACTTTTTTGTTTGACAACTATATTTGTCGGCACTTGAGTATTAAGCCAATATGCGGATACTTTATCGACTCGTAGCCCAGATTCACGATTACTCCAAAAATCAAACATTGACTTATTCTCGGAGTACACGGAACATGGTGATTCTGAGTAGTTGTCAGAGCTAATTTTAACGAGGTATACTTTTGTTATCCTCCCTTTAAAAAATAGACTTCGTGGGATTCGCCTCAGCTCACAGCGAAAAACGTCCTTCGATTTGGCGTAGGCGATCGCACGTCCTCAAATATTTACCGACGGAAAATAATCTCCAATATTGCATTTTAATGGCACCGCTGCCGTTGCGCTGGAACAATTTTTTTAATTGCTTGTCAATAATATGAGCATGGTAATCATCCATCAAGTCACTGTGCGAAGCTCAATTTAAAAAAAAGTATAGTGCCTTGAACTTATAACCGTAGTCAAAGGCTGATGTGGTTGTCTTACGTGGTGGCTGTCTCCCCATTATGTCACAATAACGTGCGCTCTGAAGGGTCCCGGGTCAGATTTAACCTGAAATTCCGGGTCACTTTGACCCGGATTCAAAGGGTCAAAATGACAGGGTCAAACTTCACAGGGTCAAAATGACACTTGTCATTTGACCCGCAATGGTGTCATTTTGACCCGCAAAGGAGTCATTTTGACCCGGAAATTGTCATTTTGAAGACGAATTGTGTAAATTTTGACCCTGACATGTGTCGTTTTGCTGAAAGATGTTATTTTGACCCGCAAAGGTGTCATTTCGACCAGAACAGGTGTAATTTTGATCCGAAAAGGTGTAATTTTGACCCGGAAAGGTGTCATTTCTTCCGCAATGGTGCCATTTTGGCCCGCAAAGGTGTCATTTTGACCCGGAAATTGTCATTTTGAAGACAAATTGTGTAATTTTGACCTTGAAATGTGTCATTTTGACCCTGACAGATGTCATTTTGACCCGGAAAGGTGTCAGTTTTGACCCGAATAGGTGTCATTGTTACCGGCAAGGTGTCATTTTGACCCGGAAATGTATGGGTCAAATCTGCCCAGGACTTTGAGGATCTTGTGTGTTGCCCATACCCAACTCCCAATATAATCGAAAGCAAGTGCACGTTCACGTATTTGTGGGACATTTTTGGCAAAGTCGTTGGCACAAAATTAATTATTTGTGATAATTCATCACTTTGTCTATCGGTAGGGTGTTTTAATGTTCAAAAAAAACCTGAGAATATTGCATTGACTAGTGGCATAGAAAGAGGGGGAATGGACGCAAAAAAACTAACAATAATTCAGGGCTGCATTTTCGGGCCCCTAGTAGATCCACGTATCAGTACCACTTTTGTATATCAGCTGTTCAACCAAGCAATGTGCCATAAAAAAAAGTTGACAGATGGAATTTGAGCCTTCTATGTCGATCACACGAGAATGCAATGCTTACTCACGGTTGTTCCCAACTTCAGCTAGAATTAGCCAATTCTGCCCCTCTTATCTGGCCTTGCTAATCAACAGCTTTTTTAGTTTAATTCATCATATCATATCGCTTAATGTTGTAGTGTGTAGTTGCTCTCGCCCGACAGCAGTTACTATAGCCTTTAGTCCAGCCTCGGTTTTTATTTGTTTTGTTTCTCCCCCTGCATGCAGAATAGTTGTACCCACTGCCCTGGCCGTTCAGCCAATACCACAATGGGAACGACGTGACGTCAACAGGCCACCCAATAGCCTTGAATTGTAGCCTACTCGTAGTCTCATGTTTCAGTCGCCATTTTACGCGAGGAAACTTTTGAGAGGACTTGTTTTAGCTGCGGCTGTGTTTGTTATCCCAAAAAGGTCTGAATACTTGCAATTTACAAACTTTTTTTACTCTATTATTTTACTCGGCCCTCAGTCACTCGCTAAGTGCGAATAATCGTGGTCTACCTATGAGACTGTTTTTATTGTTTCTCACCAGTAACAGAACGTGTGGTACAAGTGCACATGCTTTCCTGAATATATAATCACCGGTTTATATTGTGATTCTCGTCCAAATGTGTACATGTATATTGTGCATTGTGGTGTGAGTATAATAGAGTTCATTCCCTACAGTAAACTAATTACACGTTAGTAGTACAAGTGAACGCACATGTACAAGTTGGCCGATTATTCGAGGCATGTATCCTCACCGATTTTATCCTTTTGGTCAGTATGGGGATATGATTGAGTTGGATCATCACCTGAGCAATTGCCACAAAGGTCACCCAGAGGTCACAGAGCAGTAAAGGTTCTACGGGGGGGGGGGGGGCAAGCGGGGGATTTAGCCCCCCAAATTTTTTGTCTAGCCCACCCCCCCCCCAAAAAAAAATCCATAAAAAAAAATGAACAAGCAAAATGTAAGAATTTAACATACATGGGAACGGTCTCCCCCTAAAATGAGAAGGGTGCATTAAACTGCATTTGTACACTTTTAGTTAATATAGTGTGCCTGATTGTAGGATTTTATCAGCGCTCCCCATTGAAAATATGGCACGAGCCCCCCCCCCCCCCCCGTATTGCATTGATTTTCAGAGGCTTAAGTGTCCGGAGAAAATAACCTGTCTACATTTAAGAACGCCTCTCTGAAAAAATCTGGATCCACCTTAGCCCCCCCCCCCCCCAAAAAAAAAATATTGGCTCTAGAACCGCGTCTGTCACAGAGTCGATCTGGAAAAACAGATCTAGAGTCAACGACATGTCAATGTTTGATTTTACAGTACGAAGTTGGCTATTCTTACGGGCGGAAAGCCTACAGATTTGACCGTAATCAGACAGCCAGATAGTTACATTAAATGTATCGTTTTGGTAAGTAGCCAAAGATCTATCAAGCATAAAAGAAACCGAAATTGGCATGCTGGGGCAATTGGCCACCAATCAACATGAAATGCAAACGAAAGAATGATGGAAGACCACAGTATGTTTCTGATATCATGGCATTTCAAATGATTTGATAAATATACTCTGGCATAATTCGAGAATAATTCAATTCGTACGTAATTCAAAAGGGCAATTTATGCTTTTAGAAATTACAACAATGATAATGGGTTAGATTATGCACCAGCTTTTCAAAGAAACACTGCACAAACATTAGTAGATTCATATATTAGCGTATTACTTAATGTATTACTGTATTATTAACCTTCCAACGCATAGGCCCTAGATCAAAAGGAAACACTATTTTTGGAACGCGAAAATAGTGAAGTAACTGCCACGACTGGAAAAGATATAATGTATGGAGGGTGTGAGAATGAGAGAGTGTCTGGGAATGGGCGTGGTTTGTGAGTGGGAAGATTGTGTTTTGTGAGGGGCGTGCAATTCAAAGCAGTTAAGCGGGAAATGTGTAAGTATAAGCATGTTTGAATGAGGCAGTGTTTTAGTCGAGTACATTTCCACGAGTACCAACTACAAATACTGTAAACAAGTACTAACTACAAGTACTTGACCATGAGTACGAGTAACAGTCTGATGAGTACCTTGCCACGGGTACGAGTACGAGTACCTAGCCATGCGTACGAGTACGAGTACCTAGCCATGCGTACGAGTACGAGTACCTAGCCATGCGTACGAGTACCTAGCCATGAGTACGAGTATGAGTACGAGTACGAGTACGAGTAGTACCAGTACCTTGCCATGAGTACGAGTATGAGTTGACATGAGCACGAGTACGAGTACCTTGCATGCCTGCAAGGTACTCGCATGTATATATTGACATTAGTACGAGTGTGTCATGAGTTTACGAGTATGGGTACAAGGCATTCTTTCCACGAGTACGACTACGAATGTACCTTTTCAGGCGTACGATGTACAAATTCAAGTACTTTCGATGAGGACGAGCACATTTAAATAGGTGCACTTAACAAATGCAAAAGCCTCGCAAACAGTAGACAATTTGCTGCATGTATATATATCTCTTGAATTTTTGTTCAATTTCAGCTGGAGAACTTTTTCATATGAGAACTTTGCCATTACTACGAGTACAAACAAGAGTACGAAAAAATATGTACTCAGGTACCAATGTTAGTACTAGCTCTACGTCACTGAAATGTGGATCCGTGTGGAATGTGGACCCGTGAACTGGGCATGTACCTTAGGCTGTGGAATGGCTGTTTCTGTGGTGTAAGTAATATATTAGGCATAACTGGAAAGTGTTCTTGGGCGTATATATATATGACACAACTTGATTTTTAAGTGTAAATATCGATAACTGGGCGTGGAAAGGCCGAATAGAGCAAATAAGAGGAACTACCTAGTCACGTGTGGTGAGGCTGAGC